TATTTTTCTCAACTGGAAAGCCAAATTAAGTTATTGCATTTCCGGAGTCTTTCAAAAGAAGAGGGCTCTGTACAAGACTGGTGATGGAGTTCACAGTGACTTGTGCCCATATATTTTAATTCTCGGAGGCCATTTCTGTATGCTCATCTCCTTTTCTTGGTCTAAAACTTCATTTTCCTTTCACAGCTGTGAATTCTCTGGTGAGCCCTGCAGATGGGTTTGATAAATGCTGCTAATGTCACCTTCTGATCTAACAACGCTCTGACTTTGGTCTGTAGGTCTTGATGAGTAATTGCTATTGTTCTACTCCAATGACTGAATTAAGATGCCCTGCCTTAAAGGGTTCATACTTGTGTGGTTTTAGCCAAGGTGGCCCACTGCAGTGCACCGATTGACGTTGACCTTTCCTGAGTGCTGTGTTGTTTTAAATTGAAGCAAGCAAAATTACTTAGATTTCTACACCGGCTAAAGTCCGCTATAATCCTTTGGTTATTGTAGAGCAGAATAATATCCAAATTTAGTGTTGCAGATAAATGTTATCTTCAGCTAAAACTCACGTTGCTTTCCACACACAGCCCCAGCAATTAGGGCCCAAGACTGTGGGCTCTAGGAAGTGAATGTTCCATGATAGTGCTTGTTGACAAGAAGAAGGGAGGTAAAGAACAGAACTCTTCAGCAGCCTTTACAAGCAGACTGAAAACAGCACAGTGTTACACGCTGCAGCTGATACAGGCAACAGCTATAAGGGTTGCTAATTGTCCTCTACAAAATAGCAAATACTCTTCAGTGCAATTGCAGTCATTTGGTAATTCTGTGCAAAGAACTTCACTGATAGCAAGTCTAGCAAGTTATTTCCTATTTGAGTCAGCAGGAGCTTGCGTATAGAAGCTATCTGAAGGATTTGGCTTATGAAGCATATAGAACAGAAGTATATAACTTCAAACTGCAAAATCGCATCAATAAATTTAATCTGTTTTTTAAATAATATTCTGCCCTGCGATTTTTTTCTCAGTTGCAGACCAATGGGTGTGTTCTGTGTGCATTCATAATCCCACTGCATGGCTGTATTCACCCAGGTCTCTGTCTCACAGAGTACAAGCTGTCAGTGGTCTTATTGCTCACATGTATGGATGGCATTCTCATTTGGGAAAGTTGCAGGCAATAGTCACTGCACATTGTAGACCAAGGACATTTGCATATGTAGCAGAAATGCAAAGTCATGGCCTGAAGCAGTGATGGAGCACCTGGTGGAAGGCAGGGCCAGCCCAGGGGAGCTCAGGTGCATGCTATGCTGCTGAGTGACTGGAAGGGCTGGATCCAGGATCCACCCCCTCCCTGCCAGACCTCATTTAAGGGCTGGCAGTGGAGGTCAGGGTATCTTACTGGAGGTCATTGCCAAACTGAGGTCTTCCAAAGGTAAGCAAGATTTCTTTCTCTGTTTCTGTGTCCTCAGCTGCTGCATTTGGGCTTTTGCTGCAGACAAAGACTTGTCACCCTGCTGTTATTGCTGTACTTTCCATTGCATTATAGCCTCACAACATAGTATCAGCAACTCAGTGCTTAAAGCAGCCCTTATGTGATCCTTGTCGTACTCTATGTACAGGTACATTGGTGAAATTGCTCTTTTAGGAGGGGGAAAAAAAAGTCTTCTGAATTGTTTGTAACATATTTCTGGAATTAACTTCCAGCCACAGCTCTTCAAAATTTCTGTGTAATTGCTCAAATTATCCCAGAATTTGCTTCTCAAAGATGATCTTGGAATGAGTAAATTAAATGGAACAGTATATTGATTTTTGGCTTTAAACTGAATTTCTTTGTCATTTCTAAATCGTTTAGTGTGAACTGACATACTCCTGTTGCAGCAATAATATTCACAGTGCTGAGCAGTGTACAATATGTAAATAAGCGAGGTTTGTGCTGTAAATATCCATTAATAGAATATGCTTGGGGTAGTTTTTTAAAAGATGGTGGCATATGCTTCAAAAATAAAGATGCTGCCCTGTGAGATTCTGACTGCTTTTCAGTACCAGGTTGTGTATATTAATTTTCATAAATTATCTGTAGTGCTCAGGGGCTCCAACATCCATGTAGCTGCCATAAAGCAAATGTAACGAGATGGTTCCTGTGTCAAGTCCCATTATTTCTCTTACTAGGTTGGGTTGGAAAGGAAAGTAGCTTCTGTAATTGTGATAAGACCTAGTTGTTGTTTTCACCAGTGATCTTTCATTTTGAGATCACGGACTTGAATGCGAACCAAGGTGCAAATACCAAAAAGTGATGGTCAGAGCATGCCCATCTACTGGAAAATGAACGTGAGTTTTCTCAAAATGCACAACTCAAATTTTTGTCACTTCTTGTCCTAGCTTCCCCCACAGTCTGTGGTGGTACCAGGTAAACAAAGAAGAACTCTTACATGATTTCTCATTGTAGTATCCTGAACATGTGAGGAACTTGCCACTTCCCTTCATGAGAATAATCATGTGATCTGTGGGAACGTTTGTACACATGGTAACAGATATTATAACTTACCACTTAATATCTAGGACAGAATAAATGCTTTGTTGAAATTAAGTAATGATTCAAATATAGCAGGAAACAAAACATTGTTCAAATAGTTCACTCTGTTCAAAATACGTGTCGTTTTACACGTGAGGATGCACTGCCAACAAAGGACAGCTTTCCCTGTTCGTGTGTTTCTGGGCACCTGGTTGGGTTTGGACACTCAGCTACGTCATCGTGAGTTTTTGGCTTTGTCATTCCTGGTTCAGTTATTTCCTTTTACCTGGGAAAACTCGGGGGCCTGACGAATGCAGCACACAATATTGTCTTGTTCCTGTTACCTGTCCACTCTGTCACCAGTGTCAGCAGCTCGTCTGCGTAGCACAGCACAACTAAACAAGCGACTGCAGCAAATAAATGCATCAGAAGCCTCTGGATGGTGTGTGTGTGAACACTTAGTCCTCTGAATGCTGGCCTTCACTTAATTTGCAAATATAATCAGATCAAAAACGGTATGAATGTTTAAAGTTTTGAAAGTGTGAATTGGTATGAGAGGACAGTGCTTGTGTGTAACATCTTGGAATTCTCCTGTCATTTATACGATCGCGTTCTATGAATCATTGTTCTTTTATTTAGTTCTTGCTGTTTTCACACTTCAGAAATAGCCTTCTTTGTCCTGGTGCTTCCACCTTCCTCTCCGATCATTTTATTTGGAAGGAGCAGGAAAAATGTATTTGTATTACTTTAATAGCCACGTGCTTCAAGTAAGTTTTTAGTGGATGGTAGATTTTTTTTTTTTTTTTTTTTTTTTTCCTATGCCATGTTCATGTTGGGCAGATAATTAAACAAGTGGGGAGATGTAGAATAGAAAAAAGATATGCATACAAGCTGGCTGTAAGAACAGATGTTAATATGTAGTGGGTACACATCTATCTGTTCGGATTAAATAAAGGATTGCAATCGGGAAGCATGCATGAGGAATCATTTTTTCCTTAAATGTGTTGAGATTACATTGTAAAGAAATGGCTGAATCCCACCTTTTTTGGGGTTGAACATGTTACTAGATAGACAGGTACATGAGATGCAAGTTTCCAGGTATTTTATAGTATTTATTCAAACTTTTAAATAGTTGCGTTTGATAGGTGTCAAAATATATACAAATTAATTGCGGTTATTTGTATTCAAAGTCTTTGCCAGCATTCCGTCTCAGGTTTTAGTGTCAGATGCAGTGAAATAGGGGAAGCTGCCCATTGTTTTGTACCCACATGCAGAAGTGTGTACGTAAAGCAATACAGCAACTAGAAATGGAAGAACACGGGTGGGCCATGGTGAGGTAGCTAATCAGCACTGCAGGTGGTTCAGGTAGCTGCCCTTCCCACAGATAATTAATGTGTACAAGTAGCTGCTAATTGCACGTTTCAGGAATGATTTATGAGGTGGCAGAGGGGAAAGAGGGACACAATCTAATTTCTTTGGGAACCTCTGCTATTCATACAACGGTATCAGCACAGCTGTGAGATGGGACGTGATTAATGAGCAGTGGACAAACACACCCCTTCATACAGGATACTGTTTTGATGGCATGCTTGTCAAAATAGAAAGTGACACTTGGAACAACAGCCAGCAATGCTGCAGATTATGAGCTTTTTGTTTTTTGACTCTCATATTTGCTTGGACGTCAGACTTCACACCAGCCATGGTTCTGAAATAAGGTCGCTTGTGTTCATCAGAACAGTTAATGGTTTAGCACAGACTGTTATCATTGACTTGTTATGAGTGGGTTTGTGTTTATGAACAAAAGACTACAGATGTTTATTTTCTCTGTGGTCAAGGGAGAACAGATTTGGCAAGGATTAATATTTACGTGGGATATTAACTCTAGGCTTATGAACATGTCTGTTCAATATCTGCTTCCAGCTCTGCATCTTGCCTGCTTTCTGGGAGCACATTTTACCTGTTGTCACATCTCCTTTTTTCTGCTATCTGATGTGCACCACCCAAAATTAGTGTACAAAAATGCTGCTTGTCTTTGCTTAGGAAGAGTGATTTGCACATCCTTGTGTTTGTTGTACCTTCTTATCTGAGCTAAAGATAATATAAAGTAACGTGATACTCCTGCTGGCATTTTTGTGGGCTGATTAGCATATCAGTTTGCTGTACGCTTTTAATGCTAGCCTGGTTTATCTCTGAAAAGATTGCTAATATATCTTTTTTCTAATTTGCCATCTTAACATGCTAAGTGCACGTATAAGACACTGATGTAAAGAGCCAGTGTTGTGCGTTTCGCTGGGATGGATGTTCTGTACGCTTTTCTCAATTAACTTTCTATATATCAGAACAGAATTCAGTGTTTTGCATTAAGTTTTGGAAACTGTTATCTGAGGAACACAGCTCAGGCTGTATAATCAATCTCTGTTTATGATGTTTTATATAATGTCATGTTTTTAAATTGCTTCAGTTCAACATTAAAGAGGGATTGCTTTTGTTTCTATCTTTCATAGCTTTTAGAATTCGACAGAGAGCTGTCAGTCTTTAAGGACAGATTGTATGAACTGGACATCTCATTTCCTCCCAGGTAAGATTCACATATAATCCATCTATTAAACTAGTGAGCTGGTGAAAGCGTAACTGTTAGCAGTATTGTAGGTGAAATGTGAGCCTTCCTGTACATACTGTAGAAGTGATAATGATCTTCATTCCCTTTGTAAATGTATACTTCTTCCACCATCCCCTCAACTACTTCATAAGCAGTGCTAAATGGCTCATAGTTTGGATTGAACTGATACTGTGTTTTATAGCTGCTTTTAACATAGACCTTACTTGATTCTGTGCTACGAGAAGAGTAGCTACAAAAGCCAGATGGCCTGTTGAGGTACTTGATTGCAGCCACGGGAGTCTTTGCCACCACTGTTGACAACTGGATAGCAAGTGGTGCTCACTGGAAATAGAGTTGAAGGATTGGAGATGCATAGCTTACTGCCATTGCTCACGATGGGCTCCAGGAGTAGCAGGAAAGAAGGCAGGAGCTTAGATCCTGGTTTCCGTTTCAGTAAGCATGCTATAGAACTACAGAGACTACTAGGAGAATTTTGCTTTTTTGAGCATAGGTGTATGCATTTTAATCTGCTGCACACCCTTAAATGAATTTTAGCCATGAATACACACGTGCTGCTATCAAACAAAACCAAGACTTTTGCAAATGGCAGTTCTCTTCATGGAAAACATTCGGGAAAATTGATGCATTTTAAAATATGTATAGCCCCTTTCTAAGTATGAAGATGTCAAATCTTACAGTCATTTTTTTAAGGGAAATAAATACTGTGTTCATGAAGAATGAAATAATTTACAAGGAATTGCTGTAGATGTAGATATATAAACTACTTTATATACTTTACATGTATTTGTATACAAAATATGATGTTCTTAAATATTTGTTTTGTTCTTCAGAAGCAGGCTGAAAGGTGTAATGTTTTGGCATATACCAGGAAAAAAAAAATTTGAAAAGCTTCTCTTTTTGTTATCATAATCTCATTATTTTTCACCAGCCAGCTGTGATACTGAATTATATTGATCCCATGGGACAGTGGGAGTATGCATGGAGAGGTTACCACTGCTCTAAATTGTTCTTATTGATTATGATAACAGAAGAGAGCAGTGTGTACATCGCTGACTATATTTCATTAGTTGTGTACTCGTTGGGGGTAAAAGGAAATGAGGGTAAAAAGACACGTTTTTTATCAGAAATATTTGACTGAATTTCACTAACCTCGTCTCTTTCTATAATGAAGATTAGTTGCTTCATTTTCATTGTCTATTTTAGAACAGTTTCACTAGTGGTGAGCAGTGAAGGAAACGTATGATCTCAGTTCATATAAGTGAATGTACATCGCAAAGTCCAGCTGTCATTTCACTTGTAGGCAGCCCCAGATCAAACTTTCAGCCTCCAAGCACAAATAACGTGGCACTTGTAGGCAAACAGGCCAGGCAGGTCTGAGAACATTCTTACTTGTGAAGTTCTGTGTTAGTTATGGACTGCTTTTGCTGCTTCCTGACCTGTCTGAGGGGTGGGAGTGGTGTTTGGGTGTTTTGGGTTTTTTTTTTTTGCGAATTTATGGCTTTGCCAATGTTTGCTTTAGGTTTTCTTCCTCAGAATGAAAACAAAACAGAAAGTAGTGTGCAAGCAAAATGCAAATCCAGGCCAATTTCTCAGCCAAAATGAGGGTGAGGTTTGACAAAAATACGCTGTTGCATGAGTGATTTGTAGGTTCTTCAGGGCTTTCAGCCAATATGGTTTGCTGTTGTTCTGCTCTAGAGCACAAGTCAGAAATTTGGTGCGAGTCTTTGTATCTAAGTTGTACTTCTGAACTTTCTGTGAAATGATGGGAACACTTGTCCAAACTCTAAACTTTTGAAAAGTTTCTTTTCACAAATACGTCCAAATCTCATTAGAGGTGTATTTTATTATTCAAGCAGCTGGGTTCCTTGCAAACTACGGCCAGACTGTGAACAGTGCAGTATTTTCCTTGTAGCTGCTAAGGGCCACGCAGCGTGAGCCTGTGGGCAAAGAAGTTGAGCCTTCCTCCCCATCACATCCTGTCAGAGCTGGGGCAGGGGAGCTCTCCATGAGCAGTGCAGGGTTACACCAGCACTCTGCTCAGTGCTCGCAGTGTTGTGGCAGCAAGGACAGGGCTCAGGTTCTGCGTAGGCCACAGCTCCTTCGTTTGGGTATTTGCACATCCAGATCTGTGATCTCTGAGTACAGGCTAGGAGCCCAAGGAGGGGTGCAGCAAATCCTTCCTCAGCTTCCAAAGGTCCACGGAGAACCAGCCCTGCAGCTGCTGCTCTCGACTGTGCAAACAGCATCAGTGAGAGGATAAATGTATGTCTTTGATGCTTGCTGTCTGCTTCATATAATTGAGTTTTATGCTGAAAGCTGGTTCTTCCTTTTTGACATGGAAGAGATGTTAACACTGGACTTAAGTTCAAAGAAATTTCTTACATAAGCAGAGAACTGATAGAAATCTAATATGAGAATATTGTTAAGAATATAAGATGTAAAACCAACAGGCTGTCCTCATGCACGTACATAGGACAGATCAGCTTTAGGGTGTTTTTTCTCACCCATCCTTCCTTGTGTTCCAGACCACAAGCCAAAGTAATCCTGCTTTCCGTTTTGTAATCCTTGCACAGCCACCAGGAGCAATGAGAAGTTTTGCCTGAGCAGGGTACTGCAGAGTTGGATTCACTGTTGCTATAGAGTTTCTCCAATCAGTGTTCTATTTTTGTTCAGGAAATAAAGCACATTGATTTTTCTGATAGAAATAACATGATTTATTTTTATTTCCATTGAAATAATTGCCTCTATCTGCTATTAGCTGTAAATTCTAATCTTTTAAATGGTCAAAAAGCTACATGTTTTTCTTTATAACTTAAAACCTAGAAAGAAAGGAACAGTACAGCCTATGTGTGTGTGTGTATATATATTTTTTTTTTTAAAAAAAAAATTTTTTTTTTTTTTTTTTGCTTAATTTGCCATCTGTTTTCCCTGCATTTTTTCATCACCTTCTGAGAAAAAGAAGTATCTGTAGCATCTCACTATTTGGCCATTTTTATTTAATTTTTGTAAATGTAAGCTTTATATATAGGATATTTGTCATATATCCAGTCATACTGTATTTTATATCTTTAACCAAAGGAGGATGTGAAAGGTACTGTATGCTTAGAAACTACTTTAAACTTTTTGGAATTCTTAGCTGCAAAGTATATCATACATCAGTTTGTTGCATTTGCAGAACCAAAGAAGAGGCAGAGAAAGATCTAAAGTCACTTTTTGTGTTAGGCCTATGTGCTTAATAAGTGAGTATTTGAATTTAGAAGGAAGCCATGAACAATTGTAATGATTGCCTTAAAGTAGTATTCCAGAATTTGTTCTAGTTAGCAAATCCATCTTAGCTTTCATAACAGCAAGTGTTTAAATAGAAAAGCTTGGGATTTATGAAGTTGAGCAAAAACTTACGAGATAAACTTATGAGATGAAAAATTCAGTTCTACCATTCTCTTTCTACTTTATATTCCTTTTTTAATCAATGGTTGTTTGTGTACACTGCATTTCTTAATACAGATATTAATTGTCTGAACTGTGGTATGTTTTGAGTGATCTAAGTTGTAATCGCTGTTACAGTTAACAAATAAGCTGTACTGTTTTTGGGGTGGGTTCTGTTCTTCACACGTTCCTCTCAAGAAGTGTGTTTGAGATTCAGTTACACTTCAGATAAATGGAAGATGTCGCATTGCTTTGGGTTGCAGCAGACGAAGTTATAAGCATAAACTGTTCTTTCGCTGGATTTTATCATGAGATGATATTGATGCGCTGCTGTTGTTGACCTGCTGTGGAGAGCTTTAGTCCTCCTGAGTCAGCAGTACTTTTACGGTCAACTTCAGTGGGGCCAAAACTTCAGCTTGAATGGTTTTCCTGGTTTTGTGTTCACTTCATTCCTAGAGCAGCATTACGTGTGATCTGGATACCTCATGTATAAGCACAGCTAGGTACAAACGTGGTGTTTGTGCTGACCCCTGCTTTACCTTGTTTCCTTGCATAATGCTGAGGGTGGCCTGGTGTCTTAGTTCTGATCTCCAGGCCGATGCTCGCTGAGGAGGACGCCAGTGTGTCCACTGGTGGGCAACCAATCCCCTTTCTTCATAGGAGGGGTTTGTTTTGACTGAAAACTACCAGTTTTACAGCATAAAAAATTAGTAAAATCCTAATGGAAATACTAAGAAAACTCCATTTCATGGTGCCAGGCATTATGGCGAATGCACAGCAGGGAATGCCTTTCTTGCAGAGGAATGCCTTGAGTTCACTTAGCTCTGACCAATGCTTGTGGTGAGAGCCCCAGGCTGTGAACCCAGTTCTGAGTTCTCACGCACTAGTCTTTGTTCCTGCTTTTTTTGGCAGCACCATCAGGCACTGAGTTGTACGAGGTTCTTTTACAGTGAATTCCTCGGCCCCAACTTCTAGGTTTCAGCTGAAGCCATGGCAGTTATGTAGGGATATCCTTAATTTCTTTCAAATGAAATCACAGCGCTTTGCTCTTTAGGTGAACCTTGGTATAAGCAAAGAGCACAGGGTGCACAGGGATGCGAGTGGGGTGCAGTGAGCCTGGTTTGGGCAGCAGGAACTGTTCTAGGGCCTTAGTGTGTTGGCAAACATTTTGTGTATTCCTACATGGTAGGGGAACAGCCCTTCCATGAGACTTTACAGGAATGCAGAGTACAAGTTAACCACTCTCACTCTGTGGGATTTAGGGAAGATGTGCATCATTTACAGTGTGGAAAAAATGCCAATTGACTGTTATTATTAAATAGAAAACAACAAAAAAGCATACAACTTCTTTGGGAACCTAGAATAGTTTGGTTGTCAATTCTACTTTTTTTCCGGGTCCTTGTCACGCTAAAATAGCATTTCAGTATAAGCAGTAATAAAAATGTTGACTTATTCAGTAACTTTTCAAACAAAGCGGTAGTGAAATGAAGATGTGTTGTAATACTCCTGTGATGTTTTGTTCCCCTCCATTG